AGAAGGAGGGAGCGGGGGAGGATGGAGGTGGAGAGGGAGAGAGTGGGAGATAGGGAGAAGGGAGAGAGGGTGAACTAGAGAGGAGGAGAGGTAGAGCAAGAAGGGGAGAGGGTGAGAGGGAGGCAGATAGAGAAAGGGCGAGAAGGGGAGGGAAAGGCATAGTGGGAAAGAGAGAGAAAGGGAGAGGGAGAAGGGAGGAGGGAGAGGGAGAGAGGAAGAATAAGACGGGGTGAAGGGGAGAGGGAGAGTAAAAGGGAGACAGGGTGGGGGGAGGGGTAGAGGGCAGAGGAGAGGGAGGAGTGGCAGAGAAAGGGAGAAAGAAAGAGGGACAGGGAGAGGGAGAGCAAGAGATGGAGGGGGGGAGGGAGAGAGAGAAAGGAGGAGGAATACAAGCAGGAAAGGGAGAAAGAGAGATAAAGCAAAAGGCTGGGGGAGAGAAGGGAGACTGAGGGGGAGAGAGAGACAGATCGTCCATCCACTGGTTCACTACCCAAGTGGCCACTGTTGCCCGGCAGGGCCAGGAGGAAGCTAGGAGCCTGGAACTCCATCTGGGTCTCCCATGTGGGTGGCAAGGGCCTGAGTACTTGGTCCATGTTCCATTGCTTTCCCGGGCACAGTAGCAGGGAGTTGGATCAGAAGTGGAGGAGCCAGGACTTGAACTGGTGTTCTTAGGGAAGCTGGCATCACAGGCGGCATTTACCTGCTGCGCTGCAATGCAAACACCCCTGGTTTTATTTTATTTCCAGACTTTATTTAAAATTATGAAGTTGAGTTTTGGTTATTAAACTTCAGCTTGACTTTAGAGTTCCGGTATTGTCTCTTTTCTCTCAGTACCTGGGGTCTTGTACTTTTGACTTTGAATCTGCTGGAGCAGCCATCAATGACTCATAAGGGAACACTTAAAAATGCTATGGAAAAAATAGAATCAAAAGATAAATTTATCTGGGTGTAAAACATTTTGAAATTCATGCATTTTCCAGAAAGTTTTTGAAATTCCCTCGTTTCTCCAGATAAGATGAAATGGCTTACAATTTAAGCACCCGGAAGATCAATTGATGAGCAATCTGTTTTCTTGCCTCTTTTCAATTTGTTTTCAGGAAAAAAAGAAGTGCCAATAAAGAGGATAACCAGCACTCTGCCCGTTGCAAAAGGGCTAAGAGAAACCCTGTCGCTCAGGAGTCTCAAGAGGCAGAGGTAGGAAGTAGGGTCGGATAGCCTCTATTTCACTCACTGCCTACCCTCAATTACCAAATTTGTGTTCTACAGTAAAAAGGAATTTAATTTTTAAATTTTCAAATAATTTTCTTATTCTTAGGAAGAATAATAATTTATTATTGATGGGAAGAGAACAGGTTTCATGTATTTCATAGTACAATTCTAAGAAGATAACCATACTTCCTCCCTCCCTCCCACCTCAATCCCCCCGCCTTCCTTCCCTTCTTATGTTTTCCTTTACTTATTGCAACACCAATTTCAATTTGCTTTCTAATCACAGGCTTAATGTGCAACTAACCATAATGTTCAACAAGTTAAACGTAGAAAGACCAGTGTTCCACAGGAGAATAGAAAAGGAATAAAAACACTGAGCAAGTCATAATATGTCAGTTTCACTCTTATACATTTTTTGTACTCTATATTAAACTACCACATGTCAGGGAAAACATATGATTATCTGTCATTTTGGGGATGGCTTATTTCCTTAAGCATAATGATCCCTGGTTCCATCCATTTTGTCGCAAAAGACAAGATTTCATTCTTTGTTGTTGTTGTTGTTTTGAGGCTGAGTAGTACTCCATAGTGTTTATCTACCACAATTTTGTATCCAGTTGTCAGATGATGAACATCTGGGATGTTTCCATGTCTTAGCTCTTTTGAGTTGAGCTGTTATAAACATGGGGGTAGAGATAGCTCTTTCATATGCTGCTTTCATTTCCCTTGGGTAAATTCCCAAGAATGGAATGACTGGGTCGTACAGTAGATCTGTTTTCAGATTTCTGAAGGCTCTCCATATTATGTTCCATAATGACATTCAAGCCATCCTATGTCGAGGACTCTGTTTTCTTGATTGACGGAGATACTTCTGAGCAGCAGCCTGTGACTTTGAATCTTGGATCACACAGAAGATGCAAAGGGAGCACAGGATGATTTTGCTATCAGGAGGTTTGATCCTAGAGGTTACTCTGCTCATGAGAGAAGGAATAATATATTTCCAGATGCATGATAGTATGTTATTGGCTAGAAGTTGGTCATGGGTTTCTCACTGGGACAAGTGTAAATGAAATGGGTGGGGGGAGGCGGGATTGAAGGGAGGGTCCACTGATTTTGCAAAGCCTTAATGGTGATTGAGGACTATGAATTTGAACTTCGAGAGACTTAGTTTTCATGCCTGGTGCTAATTAGCATAGTGTTACTTACTTTAATTGGGATGCAGTTCCCTAGGAGAGTATTAAGGAGCCTTTTAAAGGCTTTCTGGATGAACCCTATTAGTGGCTAGGTACTGCTCACTCAGTTTTATTGTTAGTGAGCAAGAGATGACAGGATTATCAATCGATGGTTTCCTCTTGGAGCCATACATGGATGATGACATTTCCAGAACCTGTGCAGCTGCTCGGATGGGTAGTGTGCAACCGGATATAAGCCATGTACTTCTGGCTGATGGCCTTCTCTGGTGAATATATTTGCATGGGTGTAATATTGTCCGTTATTTTAAATATTACCATCTTCATACTCCATGCCACCACTCCATATAAATCTGTTCTCTGGTACATATGTGTAAGACTTACAGGATGTAAAACACAAAGATCCAAAGGATTCTCTACAGGCCTCTTTGATACGCATTTTGTTGTTCAGATTACCAAGTCCTACAAGAGATCGGGGCTAAAAATTCAATTAGGTGTTAACCCAAGTGGCTTCCTGGAAGACATTGCTTCCTTTGTCTCTTTCCTACCAGAACAGAAAAATATTTCATATTCCAAATGTTCTGTGCCATTTGTTAAACATTATGCTGGGTGTTTGTGGGTGACCTTAGATAACTCTGCCACTCCCTCCAAGCTTCTGTTCTATCCCACCACAGCACGTCATACATTGTCTCCATCCAAACTCCAGCCTGCACAGTCTCTTGGTCTCTTGCTTGATATGTTGCAAAATTTCCAAGTTCGTTCTGGACTCTCATTCTGCCTCTGTCCCTTACTTCCCTTAGAATCGTATTTGTGAATATAGATCTCAGTAGGTCTCTTGTAGTCAAGTACTTGCTACTACAGACTTCATGATTTAAGGATTTATTTATTTGACAGGCCAAATGACAGGGAGGAGGTGATGGATATATATATATATATGTGTGTGTGTGTGTGTGTGTGTGTGTGTGTATATATATATATATATAGAGAGAGAGAGAGAGAGAGAGAGAGAGAGAAAGAGAGAGAGAGAGAGATTGATTCCATCTGCTGATTCACTCCTCACATGTCCTTAAAAGCCAGGGCTGGGCTAGGCTGAAGCCAAGGGACATGAACTGCATTTGGGACTCCCACGTGGGTAGCAGGGAAGCAAGCAGTTGGGCCGTCCTCTGCTGTTCTCCCAGACTGTATCAGGGAAATGAACCTGAAGCAGAGGAGCCTGGACTTGAAACAGCAGGACGCCGGCTTATGCAAGCAGTTTTAGGCTACAGACTTACTTAGCATGACATTCAAGTCCCTTGAGAACCTAGCCTTGTTTTCACTAGCATATTTTTGTCTCCTGTCACTGGCTTTGACTCCTCAGAAACACTTCTTCTCCCCATTTGTCCCACCCTTCCTATGGATTCCCCCAAGAGCTAGTTCAGATGCTTTTCACTTTAAGGAGCCTCCTCTGATTCCTCAGCCAGCATTCATTGCTAGGTCCCTGTCATCGCAGTAGCTTCATGGTGTCATTCTCCAAGGATTCTTCTTGACTAGGTGCAGGAACTACCTGGTGAATCCCTAAGTAGCCCTGGAAAATTGCCTCCTCATATGGAATGGAGAAGTCTTTGATTGGACAGTGGTGGACAGCAGAACTACCTGTGCTGCCTATTTGAGAGTCTGTCAGAGTTGGGGCCCAGCTTAGCCTGTGAGTCACCCTGACAAAGAGCCACCAGGTGGTTCTGATGCAAATCCCAAATAGAGCATATTAAGGCAACTCCCTGCTGGCCTCAAGCTCCTTCCTTAGGATTCAGGGTTAGCACGCAGATTTCATCATGGCCTAAACTAACCTGATCTCCTGCCTTTCACACAGTCCTGGACTCCAAGATTTTTGTGAAGTGTCTTTGTGAATTTGACTTGCTGAGCTCCCCCCGCCCCCCGCCCCGGGGTCTTCCCAAACTTTATCTCACAGGTGTCACTACTCAACCTTTACTGGCAATTCAGAGACAGAGGAATGAGCTTTGTTGTGGTGAAACTGGATGAGCATTCTGTTGAGAGCTGTCAGGAGAATGGCAAAAGGGGTTTGCATTTTATGAGTCTTTCTCAATCCTGAAGCATTCAAAATCTCATTTTTTTCCACGGCTACAGAACTGTGCTCTGTTCTAGAATCAAGTGCAGTAGGTAAATCTTTCTGTACCAAGAGAGCAGTTTCAAGTGCCAGAGCTATACACCATCAAGAAACAAAGCGTTCCTAACACTTCACCTGAGAATACACTGGTCCACAGAGCAGAATTACACTCACCAGGTTAAAGTGTGACTTAGCCCAGGTTGCATAACAGAGGCCATGTCTATTAGAGCACCAGCTCTACTGGCCTAGAAATTGCTAGTGCATATGACTTTGGAGATGTTCTTCAGTGGTCTAAGGGAGACGAAACACTGAGCATAGTATCTTCTTTATGCAGTCACAATTTGTGTTAAGTAGTTGTTGGAAGCCGGAGGTAATTGCATCCAACAACAGATTTGCTTGGTCTTGAAGTAGCATTCTTTCGCTTACTTAGAAATACAATATTTGCTTCTCACAAAAGACATAGATTTGTGTAGATTGATTAGAAGGTGAAGATATCGAAAAAGTAAAAACAAATCATGATTTGAAGTCTCAGACTGTATCTATTTTTTCCAACCCAAGGTGGGCATTTGCATTTGTACATTAACCAAAAATGCTTTAAAAGCACTTGTAAATGGTACACACTTGTAAATGGTATACTTGTAACTTTTTCAAACGGCATAAGGGACATCTTTGTGTCTCTCAGTGTAAGTAATCATTTGTGTTTGGAGATGCATAGTGTCACTGCTTTGTGACAGTGGAGGAGCCAGTGTTTTAGAAAACTCTGGGCTAAGAAAATATTGGACTTTCATTATGATTTGGCCTTAACATTAAGTTCTTAAGTCATTTTGATCTTTGCTGTTGGGAACCTCACACCTAATTTAGTTGGACATTCCTGTCTCTTTCATGGGGAGTTGTTTTACTAAATTCAGATGTTTCTGATTGATAAAGAGGAACGTAGGTGGTCTTTTGATAATTGTGGGCAGTGCAATGTGTGACTGAAATTGAATCGTTCAAAATGATGTATGGACCATGATCACTCTCGGTTTAACTCTTGTTACGGTTAGCTCTGGAAAAGGTGGCCTTTGTTTATTCATTTACTTTTTATTTAAATTGTATTGAAGGTTATACAAGTTTCATAGTATACAGGTTCAGGAACAGAGTGATACTTTCCACCCTATCCTCCCTCCCACCCATGCTCCCACCCTGCTCCTCCTGCTCTCCTATTCCCATTCGTAGTTTTTATAAAGATCTATTTTCAGTTAACTTTATATGCATAAAATTATCCCTACACTAAGTAAAGAGTGCAAACAGTAGTATAGAGAGGGAAAATAAAACACTGCTCCTCAACAGTCAAGACAAAGGCTGTTAAGAACCATTATATCTCACAGTGCCAATTTCACTCCTGTAGATTACCTTTTCAGTCAGTCAACTGAAGACTAGATAAAAAATTATGGGATATTTATATACACTATGTAATGCCACAAAGAGATAAACAAAATTAAATCCTGTCATTTGCAACAAAATGCATGCAACTGGAAACCATTATACTTAGTGAAATAAGCCAGTCTCCAAAACACAGATACCATATGTTCTCCTGTGATCTGCGGCAACTAAAAGATTGCCTTTTAAGAAACGCAGAGACAACATTTTTAGATTCAGATAAGGGTCCTTGCTTTCAACTTCTCCTTTGAGAATACTAATTTGGATTGCAGGAAGGTCTTGATAATGAACGTTTTCAGGGATGGCTCTAAATAGGCAAAGGCCGGGAATCATGTTAGGTAAATGGAAAAAAAAAAAACCACGAACACACACACTCTACCAGATTCATAATTATAGAGGAGCAGTGAATAACCTTCATCAAAAATGCCAACAGCTTACACTTCACATGCGACTCTCATAAAACCTATGTGAGATGCCTTTCAGGGTATGTGGGGAGTCTTTTTTTTTAAGATTTTATTTGTTTATGTGAAAGTCAGAGTGACACACAGAGAGAAGGAGAGACAGAGAGAGAGATAGAGAGATCTTCCATCCACTGGTTCACTCCCCAGTTGGTTGAAATGGCCGGAGCTGCACTGATCCAAATCCAGGAGCCAGGAGTCACGAGTTTCCTCCGGGTCTCCAATGCGGGTGCAGGGGCCATCCTCCACTGCTTTCCCAGGCCATAGCAGCGAGCTGGAACAAAAGTGCAGCAGCCGGATGTCAAACTGGCACCCTACAGGATGCTGGCAGTGCAGGCAGCGGCTCTACCCACTACGCCACAGCACCGGCCCCTGTGGGGAGTCTTGAATGAAGAAGGGAAGACCATATATGTCCGCCATCAAGATACATGTGCAGAATCATCATGTATTTGTACACACGTGTATATGCATGTCTGTTTATATCAAGGCGTGTACATAGCAATGCACTTACTTGTTTTAACTTGTCACCACAGCCCACCTCACTTTTGTGGACATTATTTATAGTATGTCTTGTAGTACCGTTTGACGCTGCCCATTGTGCTTTGTCTGTGTGGCAGGTTATTGTAAGAAACGGTGCACCTGGGACAGAAAATGTGTGAAGGGCATTGGAAATAGAATTCCTAAGTCTGACTCCTACTCTGCCACATCCTAGCCATGTGACTTTGGGCAAGTCAGGGATCTGTTTCCTCATTTGCAAGATGAGGGCTCTGAATCCCAACTTAATGTATACGGTTGTTGTGATGACACAATGAGCTGTGCTAAGTCGTTGTACTTGGTAAACCACGAAGCCCAGTCTAGAGTGTGATGTTGCTATTCTCCAAGACCATTAGGAAATACATTGTAGTAGTAGTGTCGTGATCTTCTTCTAGTTTTTCTCTTTGCAGCCCTCAGGCAGCAATAATGAACAGAATATCAACAATATTAATGTCCCAGAGACATCCAGTGGACCAGGAAGCAGCGCAAACTGGATCGTTGCTGATCCCAACCCGAGGATCCCTCAGTCGTTCAACGAAGAGTCTGTCATATCCCAAGGTCCTTACTTCTGCATCAACCAGGTCTTGAGGGAGGCTCACTTTAACAGCCTGCAGCAGCGAGGACGGTCTCCAACCTGATGAGACTGGGAGCTCCTTCTTACAACCTAAAATTGGCTTATAAAAGCAGTTGCATGCAAACAAAAAAAGTCTGTGGGCTTTCCTGTCTATCTGTTAAGTAGCGGGTTAATGGGTACTTGTTCATTAGGAATGTCACTATACTGCTGCAATTTGAAAAGAGGTTTGAAGAAATGTTTTAAACATTCTTTTCAAATAGGGGGTCATGTTTATTTTAAGATAGCAAAATGGCATGGCGGTGTTGTGAGACTACAGCTAAGCTGCCGCTAGCAAGGCTGGCATCCCCCCTCTCCCCTTCCCCTCCCCTTCTCCACCTCCCCCTCTCCCACCTTTCTTCTCCCTCTTTCTCTCTGCCTTCCTCTCCTTCCCCTCTCCTCCCTCCCCACTCTTCTCCCCGCCCTCTCTCTTTTCACTCTGCCCCTCTTCCTCTCCCTCTCTCCCTCTCTCCCTCTCTGCCTTTCTTCCTTCTCCTCTTTACCTCTCCATACTTACCTCTCCCTCTCTCCTTCCCTCCCCCTTTCTCCCTCTCTTGCTTTTTACCTCCTTCTCTCTCTCCCCCTCATCCTCTCGCCCTCCTCCCCTCCCTCTCCCACTTCCCCTCTCCTTCCTCTTCTTCTACTCCTCTCGCCCATTCCCTCCCCCTCCCCCTCTCCCATTCTCCCTCTCTACCTCTCCCTCTCTATCTCTTTCTCACTCAATCCCTTTCCCCCTCCTCCCCCATCTCTCCCCCTCCCTCTGTGTGCCTTCCTCTCCCCCTCTCCATCTGCCCTTCTTCCTCTTGTTTCTAGTGCTCAACGTTTCAAATAAATAAATAATCTTTCTCTAATTAGTCGTCCAAATGAGAAGCTCCTCACCTCTGAAATGAATCCATAGTATACCCAATTCAGATTCCAAATCTGTCAAGTGGAAACTCATGGAAAAGAATGTGATTTTAAAGATTTATTTATCTATTTGAACATCAGAAATACATAGAAACAAGAGGAGACAGAGATACACACAACAACAGAGTGAGAGTGGGAGCGGAGGCGGAGGCGGGGGTGAGGGTGAGGGTGAGGGTGAGGGTGAGGGTGAGGGTGAGGGCGAGGGTGAGGGCAATGGCGATGGCGAGTCCTCAAATTCTCTGGTTCACTCCCAAGATGGCCCCACTGGCCATTGCCTAGTCAGGCCTAAACCAGCATGAAGAAGCCTCACTCAGGTCTTCTACATGGAAGATAAGGGCCCAAGCACTTGGGCCATCCTCCGTTGCTTTTTCCCAGGCCACCAGCAGGGAGCTGGATTAGAAGTGGAGCAGCCAGGTCACAAACTTGCTCCATTTGTGGGATGCCTGCATCTCCCATGGTGGTTTACCTGTTGTGCCACAACGCTGTCCCAGGGAAATAACATTTAAAGTTCCAAGCCTTCATTTTTAAAGTTTCAGTTATCCTGTATGGAGTCTGTAGTTTCCATTTCAGATAACGACAAACACAACCAGACAACAATGTTAGTATTCCAAAGTCTGGAATGCTTGGCGCCCTACTGTGCTGAAATGAACTGCCATGCTGCCCCTCAGAGGGAGGAGGGCCTATTAGCAGAACTCTGTTCTTGGAACAGCTAACGCTGCTAGACTCTGTTTGGACTGTGAAAATGGGAACCACTCTCTACTGCCTATCTCCACTGTTGATATTTGCAGGAAGCATGTTTCTTTTCTAAAAATATTTTATTTACTATTTTGGGGATAACATTTCAATTTTCACTATAGCCAAAGTCTTATAAGCTCCACTAAATAAAGAGTTCAAGAATTAAAACGTAAAACCACCATAAAACCAGCAGGAAATTGGTCTATGTCTGTATACACAATGAAACGGGGAAAGACATTCACATTCACTCGTACACAGTTCATTTTAAAATGGCCACCAAATCATTAAAACTTAACTAGTATATAATTTGTTTGGCAAATTAAACAAATGTCTGACACATCAATTTGTTTAACAAATCTGTTTTTAAAATGTGGAGATTTCTTGAAAAGCTAGAAAGAGACTTGCCATAATTTCCAGCAATCCCAGGACTGGGTGTGTAGCCAAAGGACAGGAACTCATTGCAGGAAGGACACTCCTAAGGCTCTGATATGCTGAGACACATTCTTTTTGAGAATTTAAAGCAAGATTTGAGAATTTAAAGACTCAAAGACATCCATCCACAGTGAGCTGGAGGGGGACTCCAAGAGAGGCAGGTGATTCTGCCCAAAGGGGCAGGTGATTCTGGGGTGTTTAACCACAACTTAGGGGAGAAAAAGCGTGACATTAAGCTACAAGGCTGGGAAAAAACTCATCCAAACGCCTGATTTTCAATCTTTTATCCTGTCTGGCTTGCTCATGATAAAACAAAAAGCCACCAGAAGGGTAGGATAACCTAATTTGCTTTACAGTAAACTGGCCTCTCAGACGGAATTTCCATTCCCTTGCTCTTCTCATGATAAGATTGGAAGCTTCCAAGGAATGGGCAGGCAGTCACCTTTGACCTTGCTAAACACAACCTCCAGGGAAAACAATCATTTTGCTCCTTAAACCTCCATGGGGCCCTCCAATGGACATGAGTGTACAGAAAGTGGAAACAAGTGGAGCTGAGGATGAGGATGGTTTTAGAATGGAGTCTTTGATTTTGGCCAAATTGTGCAAAAGGACATAGGTTGCAGGTTGACAGAAATAAGAGATTTTATTAACTGGTAGAAGTAACTGAAAATGAAAGCTGTCTTATGAAAGGAGAACACACACATGCATTCACACGTGCATAAAGGTGTTTGTGCACAGTCCCCTCACTTCCACGGTTGCCCTTGTACTGGAATTTGAGTGTGATGGTAGGGGGTTACAACTTCCCTGGCCCCATCATGGCAGGAAATAGAGAAAGGCCCCCTGCCTACCATTCCTCTCTAACAACACAGGGAACAAGCAAGTACTAAAGACAACAAGGTGTTTGAACTTTCCACCACATGCTCACAGCAGGACCAGAACATCCAGAACCCGGCAGGCTTCAACACACAGCCCCTCCTCAAACAATGGGTGTCTGATAAAACAGTGTTCCTGCAATCCCTAGAGAGCACATTTCCTTTCTGACCTGCCTACTTAGGGACCTGGAAGATGATACCACCACCATGACAAAACGTAATTTTTTCAAAGTAAAAAATAATGTAAATCCCTCGTGCTTCTTCGTAGTAAATTCAAGATGTGATCTCCATCCTATTTGGAAGACTTTCTAAGTCTGTCTACCAGGGGGCTTCCAAACGTGGTAGAAGTTGAAATTAAAAGATGCTCATGTTTTCCATGAACTCTTTCTGTAATATCTATAAATTAAATATATATATTAAATAAATAAATATATATACATAACGGTGCATGTCCTTTGAACATTAAATAAAACAATCCTTTTAAAAAGCTTTTTATTTTACATAAAGGGAAAGTATTTCATGTACTTCATTTATACTGTTTTAAGGGCATAATGATACTCCCCACCCTACCTTCCCTTGGCACCCCCTCTATCCCACCCTCCCTCCTCCTTCCTGGCTTATTTTGTGTTAATTTTTACATTGGCATAGGTTCAGTGGGTTACTCCACCAAATATGGAATTCAACTAGTAGCATATAGAAAACCCACTGTTCCTCAGGAGTATAAATAGGAGCTATAAAGGAATCAAATTGAAAATGTCAATTTAGCACATATATATTACATATTTTTTGTACTCTTTATGAGCTACCACAAATCAGAGAAAAGATACGATGTTTGTGTTTTGGGGACTGGCTTATTTCACTGAGCATAATGGTCTGCAATTGCATCCATTTTGTTGCAGAAGACAGGAATTCATTCATTTTTATGGCCCATTAGTATTTCCATCGTGTGTATGTACCATGATTTTTTCACCCAGTTGTCAGTTGCTGGACATCTGGGTCAAACCAATTATTACCATCTGCTATAAACATAGGACAGATAACTCTTTCATATGCTGATTTCTGTTCCTTTGAGTAAATTCCCAAGACTGGAATATGGTAGATCTGTTCTCAGATATCTGAGGAAGCTCCATCCTGCCACTCTGTGTGCCTCTTTCCTGTTGGATTCAGTGGACAGGATGGGTTCAGTGGTTTCATAGGTTAAAAGGAAAGTGGAGGCCCATCATTTCTTGGCACAAAAGAAGTTGTTAGGAAGAGTCAAAGAATAGAGAGGAAGCAGTGTATGAATCTACACCCATACTGAATTTATTCAGAGAAAATAAATCTGTAGAGCTGGGTGACCAGCTGCCTGCATACACATGATGGAGCATGTGGCAGAAGGCCCGACCCCAATGGCCAGGCCTTTTTAAGGAGCTCTAGGGCTGGGGGTGGGGGTGGGGGCAGCAGGAGGAGGGGAATTCCAGGAACTGGGCTGGGGCCTTGGGAACCTGGAAATGAATGCATGGTAGGGTATGAGGGCAATAGGGTATGAGACCCAGTTGAGATTCAAGGGCAAGGAATACATTCCAAAGTTTATCTCTTTTGGGCAATGAGAGAATGGCTGAGTCTTATGTCCTTATTCCATCAGAAGTTATCTGTAAATGAGAGCTATAATTATTGCTAGTGCTATGAACAATAGTGGCAGTATTGGCAGCTCAGTAGTGGAACAGTAGTGGCAGTAGTGGCAGTAGGATCAACAGCTCAGCAGAAATGTTGTGATTTAGAAGTGCTGGACATACTGCAGACATTGTTTTCATGGCATGGCAGTTTTGGGCTGAAAAGCAATTCCAATCTACTCCTGTCTGTGTGAGACACAACATCCATGGTGGATGCCTCTCACTCTCCTCTGCACTTTGTTGACCAGGAAATACATGAATTTTCTCAGCATAATGAGTTTTGGAAGGCCAGCCCGGGATGTATTCTGGCTGCACTGAGCCTTTCAAATCATCAACCATGTCCAAGTGAGACATTGCTCTCCTTGGGGTGGGGCACATGCACATCTGAAGGCCCCAAACACAGCCCTGAAAGAGTCATACACATTTTGGCTAGGAAAGCCAGGCATCAGCATGATGAGGTAAGGTTCCAAACCTGTAGTCCTTGGCCCAGGTGAGGTCACAGCAGAGGCAGGGGTGGGGAGCAACAGGAGCAGGATTATCACCATTTCCACAATTCCGTTTTGTTTACACACATCCTCTTTTTTTAAAAGATTTATTTTATTTATTATTTGAAAGTCAGAGTTACACAAAGAGAGGAGAGGCAGAAAGAGAAAGAGAGAGGTCTTCTATCTGATGGTTCACTCCCCAATTGGCCGCAACACCCGGAGCTGCACTGATCCAAAGGTAGGAGCCAGGAGCTTCTTCCAGGTCTCCCACGCGGGTGCAGGGGCCTAAGGACTTGGGCCACCCTCTACCACTTTCCCAGGCCATAGCAGAGAGCTGGATAGGAAATGGAGCAGCCGGATCTTGAACTGGCCCCCATATGGGATGCCAGCGCTTCAGACCAGGGCGTTAACCTGCTGCACCACAGCACCGGCCCCAACACACATCCTCTTGATGTTGGATGTGTTATGGGAAGAGGAGCTGGAACGGCAAATTGTAAGGGAGTGAAAACCTTACAGATAGATCTCACTGGCCCATCTGCCAGACCAACACTTTTTCCTGCTGCCCTGGGTTTGTGGAACATTCTGGGGGTTTCCAGTGATCTTGTTCCTTTACTTTGTGAGTGAAGCCTCTTCATAGTCTCTGAGCAGGATCAGAGAAATCAAGAAGGCAGCTGGATTCTGCCTTTTGGGTAACTCAGAGCAACAGGAAAGCAGCCCCATGCCATCCCAACACCCTGGGCACAGTGAGACTTCTCAGATGAGCCACTCACTTTGGCTAAAAGAGAACATGTTGAATAAACAAGCATAAATCATGATGGCAAACCATTATCTCACGCACCAAAACCTCTACAAGTGCAGTGATCCTAAGACTACTCAAATCATGGCCATGATGTCATCATGAAAGAACAAGATCATCTCCACATTACTTCTCTTTCTTCTTGAAAAATTGCCAGGTGGATTGTCAAAAAGACACATGTGAAGTGGAAAATATGTAGCTTCTTTCCACTAGGAGTAGAGACTCATTTCCTGCAAACAACCAGACCCTGCTCCCACTAAACTCATTCTGAGACTGAATACTCTATTAGTTCAGAGGGGAATTGCAGAAAGGGAGCCTGTCTCATTCAGAAAACGTTTTCTATGCATTCCCTTTGCCTTTTCACCTCTAGAAACAGATGATTGTTTTCATAGCAGCCCACTGTCTATCTTGAACGCTGAATGTCATCTCAGACACACTGTATTCAAAATGGGGCATGAGAAAATGTGCTAGGGTCTTCAGATTCTGGTCTACTGTACTATTAGAGCTCATAGGCTTTTAGAGAACACACACAAACACACACACATACACAAACACCCCATATTATTGAAAGTGGCAATGAGAACAATCTGAGCAGAGGTTTTTTCTATCACAAAGGCATCCAGGGGACTCTGTGAACACATCACAAGGACAACTTATCTGAGGTCAAAAGGAGTTGAGTGTGTGAAGAAAGGGAATACAGTGTGGTGATTTGTGATAGGCAGGACCTGCGGACAGTGGAGTGGTTGAGAGCAATGGAGAGGTTTGAGACAGTCTGAATGAATGGGAAGATAATGGAGTCTTTCAGAGGGATCCTAACAATAGAGAAAACATGCTATGGCACATTGTTTTAGGACATTAGTTCAGATGTGTGCGCATTGACTGTCAAGCGTCAATGGGACCATTACACCCTATTTTGAATACAGTGAGTCTGAGATGATATTCAGAATTCGAGATAGACAGTGGGCTGCTATGAAAACAATCATCCATTTCTGGGGATGAAAAGGCAAACTAGACATTCAAAACAGTATCAAGGACAGAGACAATGGGAGTCCTAAGTCAAGGGCAGCATAGCCTAGTGATGAAAATCCAGAAGGCCTGGGTTCAAGTCTAGCCTCCAGAGGTTATTTCTTGGTGTATTGTCCTGAGCCCTCTTTGTCTCAGACACCTTATATACACAATGAGAATAAGGCTAGTAATTTCCAATAGTCCTCACATGTGCTAGGTCATTTAATTGAAAAAATGATGGTTCAATTTGTAAACTTGGAATGGCTGTGAAGTGTGAACTATCCCTTTGGCAAGAGGGGAAATCACTCTGTTTATCTACCCTGCTTTAGCATCCAAGACACATCGAATGTCTTAACGTGCTTAAGAGTTCCTATTTGGGGGAGGTCAGATCCAAGATGGCAGAATAGGGAGGGAGCTTTCTAATCTAGTCCAGGAGAAGGTAGTAAAAAAGTGGAGATAGTGTAGTCTCAGGGAAGAGTTAGGGAAAAAATGGCAGAGGAAACTCTTCCGAAATTAGAGGGACACAGTGGACCTAAGTGGAGGGCGTGGGTGCCCACGGCTTGGGACTCCAATAGCCAAGAGCCTATGCACCAACACTGGAAAGTGAGGTGAGGTGAGACGAGACTGCAGGAGACCGAGATACTGGCAAAAAAGCATCAGGAAGAGCCTAGAAGGAATGAGGCTTGAAGCCCCATGAGGGAAGGTGTTCCTGTCTAACTAGAGGAGAGAAAAAAAAAACAAAAAAGAAGGATGGTATGTACATGTTTCTCTTTCTCTCTGATCACCTTATAAAGGTATACAAGCCAATAAAGCAGATGCAATTTTGAAATATGTAACAGCTGCGCCAGCTCATGCCTGTGCCTGGCAATCAGCCAAGCAGAGAAACCTGACTCTGGTGGGGAGAAATAACAGGGGCCTAGGACCTTGTGACTGTGTGAAGCTTCTGAACTGGGACTGTGCAAAAAAAAAAATGAGAGTGTGTGGGAGAATTCACGGTGTGGATGAGACTTTGAGTAGTCTTGGCAGGAGACACCACAAGCTTACTTGGTGAGAGACATTGCTGGGGAATCTGAACTTACACTGAGGACTGAACAGATCCTTTGTGTGGTCCTTGGGACAGAGCAGACAAATATTATACCCACTGGGGCTAGCACTCAGGCACTGGTCTCCATTGAAGAGAAGAGCTCAGCTGAACAGAATTACTTCCCTTCGGATTAAAAAAGAGAGAGAAGATTCACCACGCCAAAACTGGGTGTGTCACATTAGGCATGCCGTTAACCCTGGAGAACTGAAGACAGCTCTCTGGCCACACCCACTACAAGCCTCTAGAGATTCAATGAAAGCAGACAGTCCACTTATCTACAGAATCATAGTACAACAATAAAAGTCAAAACAGAAAAAGAAAGAAACCAATGAGTATCCCCAAAAATGCCGAACAACAAACGCAACAATCCAAGAAACAAGAATAAGGAAGACAACATGACACTCCCAAAAAAGATGACACTTCAGTACAAGATTATGAAGATAATGAGAGAGAAGAAATACAAGAAATGGAAACTCAAAAAATTGATGATAAGATTAAAGAGAAGTAATCAAAAGAAGCGCACAAACTACTGAAATCCATGCAGGACATGAAAGAAAATCTCTCTCATGAAATTGAAATGTTAGGAGTTATCAAAATGAAATGAAGAATTCAATAGAACATGAAATTGAGATATTGAAGAGAAATAAAAATGAAATGAAGAATTCAATGGAACAAATAAAAAATGCAGTTGAGAGCCTTAAAAACAGAATTAGTGAGGCAGAAGAGAGAATACTGGACTTATAAGACAGAGCACAGGAAAGTATACAGTCAAACCAAAGACAAGAAGAGGAAATTAGAAATCTAAAATATATTGTTTGGAATCTACAGGATACTATTTAAAAAACCAACATTCAGTTTCTAGGAGTTCCTGAAGGCATGGAGAGAGAGAAAATATTAGAAGGCCTTTTTAGTGAGATACTATCAGAAAATTTCCAGGGTTTGGAGAAAGAAAGAGACGACTGGATACAGGAAGCTCATAGTACTCCCAATAGATAGGACCAGAAAAGATCCTCACCACAATACATTGTACTCAAACTCACCAGAGGGAAGCATAAAGAAAAGATTCTAAAATGTGCAAGAGAGAAATGCCAGATTACTTTCAGAGGATCTTCAATTAGACTCACAACAGACTTCTCATCAGAAACCCTAAAGGCTAGGAGAGAATGGCAAGATATAGCCCAAGTACTAAGAGAAAAAATTGTCACCCCAGAATACTATACCCTGCAAAGCTCTCATTTGTGAATGAAGGTGAAATAAAGACCTTTCATAGCAAACAGAAATTGAAAGAATTTGTCACCACTTGTCCAGCCTTGCAAAAGATGCTTAAATATGTGTTACACACAGAAACACAGAAGCATGGTCATAAATATGAAAGAAGGTAAAGGAAGAAAATCTCTCAGTAAAAGATCACAGGAAGAACAAAGTATAAATTAGACATATCTTTGGAAAAATGGCAGGGCCATGTCACTACTTATCAATAGCCACAATGAATGCAAATGGCCTCAACTCTCCAGTTAAAAGACACAAACTGGCTGAATGGATTAAAAAACAAAACTCATCTATTTGCTGCTTACCAGAAACACATCTTTCCAACAAAGGTGCATGCAGACTGAAAGTGAAAGGATGGAAAAAGATATTCCATGCTAACGGAAACCAAAAAAGAGCTGGGGTAGCCATGTTAATATCAGACACAATAGACTTGAACACAAAAACGATTAAGAGAGACAAAGAGGGGCACTATATAATGATTAAAGGATCAACTCAACATGAAGATGTAACTATTATAAATGTCTATGCAGCCAATTACAGGACATTGGACTATTTAAAAGAAATGTTAAGGGAATTAAAGGGAGACTTAGACTCCAATACAATAGTATTGGGGGACTTCAATACTCCACTCTCAGAAATAGACAGATCAACTGGACAGAAAACCAGCAAGAAAACAGCAGATTTAATTGACAATATAGACCAAATGGACCTAACAGATATCTACAGAACTTTTAATCATACAGTTGCAGAATACACATTCTTCTCAGCAGTGCATGGAACTTTCTCTAGGATTGACCATATACTAGGCCATAAAGCAAATCTCAGCAAATTCTAAAGAATTGAAATACCATGCATCTTCTCAGACCACAATGGAATGAAGCTGGAAATTAGCAACTCAGGAATCTCTAGAGCGTATACAAACACATGGAGACTGAACAACATGCTTCTGAATAAACAGTGGATCATAGAAGAAACCAGAAGAGAAATCAAAAACTTTTGGAAGCAAATAAAGATAACAACACAGCATATCAAAACGTACGGGAAACAGCAAAAGCAGTGTTAAGAGGCACTTTGATTATGGCCTTGTCTAAAGAAGGTCGAGTTTGTGAACTCAAGAGGCTTCTGTAGCCTTGGCAGCTCATGACAAGAGCCTTGGGTGATTACCAACGTCATAAATCAGAATGTCAATTGTTAAATCAACAACAGGAGTCACTGTGCACTTGCTCCCCATGTAGGACCTCTGTCCTTAATCTGTTGTACTATGAGAATTAACGGTAAAATTAGTATTCAAACAGTACTTTATACTTCGTGTGTCTGTGTGGGTGCAAACTGTTGAAATCTTTACTCAGTATAGAGTTGATCTGTATATAAAGATAATTGAAAATGAATCTTAATGAAGAATGGTATGGGAGAGGGAGTAGGAGATGGGATGGTTTGTGGGTGGGAGGATGGTTATGGGGGGAAGAACAGCTATAATCCAAAAGTTGTACTTTTGAAATTCATGTTTATTAAATAAAAGTTTTCAATTAAAAAAAGAATTCCTATTTGAACTGATGTTGGTAAATGGGCACCAGTGCTGTTCTTTGACAAACAGCATCCTCAACCACGTATAGGGAGATGCCCTACCCTTTTCTATCCTTGTACCCATAACCTCCTACTGCCTGACCCACCTCCTGTCCTGCCACACCCACCCCCACCACCAGAAGAGTGTCAATTATGACCTATTTCTCTGTTGCTTCACTGTTATGTCACCTCCAGTGCCCTGGAAAACCTTCCTGTACCATCAAAAGCCACCAGTCCCAGCAAAACACCAGATCCTGGGGAGGGCCCCTCTGGTGCTGCCATACTATCCACTGGGGGGTAGGGGATGGGGGGTGGATTGGTCTCAGGGGACACAGTCAGGGAGTAGGGCTCCATTTCACATGAAAGGCAAGAGGAAATCCAGCTGGCCTGCTGCACCAGCCGAGAAGCTGATCACCATCAAGGCCCTGGACCTTCCCCTCAGTCACACCAGAGCGGGAAGGTGTGAATTTAGGACGCTGTTTATCTGACTTGGCCCATACTGGTAAGGAAAGCTCCTCTCATCCGAGAGTCTTGCCTTTTCCCCAGAGTCACTTGCCACATCCACATACCACTCTCAGAGGGATGGATGCGGGAGGGGGCAGCTCCTCTAGACCTCAGGAGAACTTGTGCTCCAGGAAGTCTAGCGCTTGTCTTCTTCAGGGGCAGTACTTCATTTTGTGGTCGACTGAACCAAGGCACTATTGGCATCAGGATACTGTGGAAGTGATCAAGACAGAAAGAAGGTGCCCTCCTAACACCAGGTCAGGTACCAGTTACTGTTTCTCTTATGTGGTGCCCCAGTGTCATCTTCACTGGTAGCCCAGGCAGGGGTGGGGAGTGGCAGGGTGGGGTGGGATACAGCATTGGGGTTCTAAATGGACAATTGTATTCCCTGAGTATTCTGCCTCCACTGTCCCAGCTGTCATTTAGAACTCAGAATGTGAGGAATTTTACCTCTTTGTAGTTAGAAAATCAAGAACTCAAGATTTCCTATAGCACTTGGGAGCCAGTTGGGCATTATGGCTCAGGAAAGATAGTAACCATTTAAGTGTGTACAATGGGTGGTCAGCAGTCTAAGGATTCATGTTTCCTGGTTACTCCAGCCAACACACGGGTAGGTAGTGCTGTAAAGGGACTTTGCAGCAATCATGCTGGTGACCTTGAGACGGGCCCGGGAGGGGGATCATTCCCCTGGATTATCTGAATGGACTTAGTGTAATCAGGTGAGCCCATAGAAGCAGAGGAGGGAGGCAGAAGAATCCTACAGAGATGAAATGGAAAAGGAAGCCAAAGGCAGATTCTCAGTGAGAGATAGAAACCCAGAGCATTAGGGCTGAAGGAAGCCACAGGGACGGCAGGAGAAAGAACATTGGTAGCCTCCAGGAGCAATCCTGTCCTAAGTTGCCAGACATCATGCAGCGGGGACCTCACTGATAAGGCTGTAAAGAACAGAATACCATTGACATTCTAAATGAGGTACCAAGCAAGTCCATCCCCAGGCCCATCCCAGCCTCCAGGGAAGAACACAGCGTCCCTGCCATCCAGATTAAGGCTTTGTTAGGCCCTCAGTGGGGTCCCCGTTAACCCCAACCAGATATCTGATGTACGGTAACCATGAATCAATGAATTTCTGTTGTTTGAGGCCAAGCGATTTGTGGTAATTTATTGTGGCATTGATGGAAAATTGACTCAGTATAGAAACTGACATTTCCCCTATTGGAGGAATCTGAGAATCTCCTCCAGGAACATGTGAGGATCATTAGGCACGTTTGTTAAGGTGTTTCCGGTTTCCTATACTGGCTTAGCCAAGTTTGTAAAGAATACTAGGGAAGGAAGGACTCCTTGGCTAACCATTTGCCAGTGTGGGGCAGAAAGAAGGCCCCAGGATGCACTGTTATTAGAAATCGGGTCACTGTTTCTCATAGTGTCCCTTTCACTTCAACAGGTTTCCTTTTTTGTAATTGCTTAGTTGTCACCAATCAGGGAGAACAAATGATATTTGTCCCTTTGGGACTGGCTTATTTCACTCAGCATGATGTTTTCCAGATTCCTCCATTTTCTTGCAAATGACTAGATTTCATTGTTGTTGTTTTTTTTACTGCTATATAGTATTCTATAGAGTACATGTCCCATAATTTCTTTATCCAGTCTTCTGTTGATGGGCATTTGGGTTGATTCCAGGTCTTAGCTATTGTGAATTGAGCTGCAATAAACATTAAGGTGTAGATAGCTTTTTTGTTTGCCAATTTAATTTCCCATGTGTAAATTCCAAGGAGTGGGATGGCTGGGTTGTATGGTAGGGTTATATTCAGGTTTCTGAGGACTTTCTCCAGACTGACTACCATAGTGGCTTTACCAGTTTGCATTCCCACCAACAGTGGGTTAGTGTCCCTTTTTCCCCACATCCACACCAGCATCTATTGTTGGTAGATTTCTGCATGTGAACCATTCTAACCAGGGTGAGGTGAAACCTCATTGTGGTTTTGATTTGCATTTCCCTGATGGCTAGTGATCCTGAAAATTTTTTCATGTGTCTGTTGGCCCAGTTAGATTTCCTCTTTTGAAAAATGTCTATTGAGGTCCTGGCCCA